AGGGCAGATCTGGGCAAGTATAGTCCCAGCTCTTATGGTCGTTGTATTTGACATTTAGACTGGTGAGCTCGGAGAAGTCGAGTGCAGCAGGCATTGTAGATGTTCTACCTGTCCAAGGACAACTTGGCGTGCTGGGCGCTCACGGGGTCTGTATACTACAGCAGTGCCTGGAACTGGTTGTTCTTGGTAAAGGTGATGATTTTCAAAACTGTGCCAAACTTGGAGAAGATCTGGTGTAGCACATCTAGGGTCACAGGGTAAAAAAGTTTCTCCACAATGATCCTGAGCACAGGGCTCTGCCCAGCCATGGCCATCCCTGCATCCATGGCAGCAGCTGAGGCAGCCAAAGCCAGATTTCCTGACTGGACTGAGTTCACTGCCTGCAAGGCTGCCTGGGCCACGCCTGGTTGGGAGAACTGTCGGTCTTGAGCTCCTCGTGATTAGAGAACTGGATGTAGATGGGCCGGCCACGTAGCACAGGAGTCAGAGCTATAGTAGTTGACCATGGTGTTGGCAGCCTCCTCAGTATTCATCTCAATGAAGGCCTGGTTCTTCCTGTTCAGCATTAGGAAGTTGGTCACCTTCCCGAAGGGCAGCCCTAGGGAGATGACTTCTCCTTCAGTGACATCACTTGGTAGTTTGAGGAAGTGGATCACTCTAGAGGGTGCCAGCACTTCTGTTGTTACCTTTGAACTTCTTACAGTTATTTCCATTTGCTGCAGAAGCCGAGTTGCTGCTCATGAGAACAGATCTGTTAGTAACACAAGTAGAGGAAAGCTCATCGGATCCCTGCTTTGTACCAAATGCTATATCTGGGACAATGTCGTCCACGGCACACCAAGCGGACTCACATGGGACAGAGTGTTGGAATCCTGTTTACTTTATTAATCCATAATCTAATTGCCAAAGCACTGGCTTCTTTGGGTAGTTAGTTAGGAATCGGGCTCTCCCAGGAAGGAAGAGAAGGCAGAGCCCCCACTCTCTGTCATAGTGGCCCCACCTTAATTTTGCCCCAAGCAATTGCTCACACCCAGGGAGGAGGGAACCTCCTACCAACCTAACAATCAGAACTTAGCATGCCAACTGCAAAAGGATGTAGAAAACTCTCTAGCTTAGCAATAGGTATAACAGAATCTTACAGGTGACTTGGAACAGCCTTAAGGCTACTTATCATGTAGTCCGCTACCCCCAGTGGGTTCTCAGAGAGGCTCATGGAGGTCCACATGCTCAGTAAGACCCTGCTTCCAAGGTGACCTCTAAACCACAAGGTAAGCCTGATCCAGGCAGTATAAAAAAGAACTGCCTGCCATAACCTTTGCTTCTTTACCTTTTGTTTGTCACCAAAGGGGGCCCCTTCATTCATGGTGAATGTGTCTTGCTCTGTAAGTCTACTCTTTGCTTTTACTCTATAAACCTCTTTCCCTCTCTCAATAAATCTTCCTTTTTTGCTAAAACTTTACTTCTGCTTTTCAATTATTTTGGCAAATACCTTGAGCCACCACCAGGCCACACTAACAATTTTTTTCAAGATATTGTGGGAAAGCTGCAATTCTGATAATGGCAGGATAGTTTTTATTAGATCAACTATCCTGCAGATACAATGAAAAACCTTGAAAAGCCATTGACATCATTAACAATGAATGACAAAATCATCAACGCCAGAGAAGAGAGTGGGACAATTTTCTCCTGCAACCCTTAGAACACTCTTTAGTGCCTGGCCTGAGAAAACTTGTGTTGCATATGAGAACAGCTAGAGGCAGACTCTCCCAGATCCTTTCATCAAACTGGTTAGTTTGGTTAGATTTATTAATTCTATTAATTGTTATTGGTCACAATGTGCCAAATATTGTGTTAGACATTAAGAATACATAAAGTAGATCATGCCTTAGAATTTAAAGTCTAGTAGGAGTGCTGCAGGAAGACGAGGCTCAGTAGAGAGAACGAACACCCAAACACTGAGTTTAAAAGAGGAAGGGGTTTACTTCAGCCAATGGAGCAAATGGCACAGAAGAATTCAAAATGGCTCAGTCTTCTCTTCTTATCCCCAATCAAAAAGTTCCAGCCCACGGGTACCTTTCTCATTGGTCACTTTGACTCAAGCTGGAGAAGCGGGCTTTGGCTTTTACAGAACCGTGGGCTTTTACAGAAGGGGAAGCAAGTGTTAGTTTTCAGGTCCCAGGAAGTTAAGTTTCTACAAATTCCTAAGAGCTGAGTCACCATGGGGAGGACCTGGCAGGTGTACCCTTGTGGTGTTCTTGAGAAGACTTTTGTTCTCTTAAACCTTACTTTTTCTGGGTATCCTTTCTCAGGAGACACATAAAATAAAAATTCATAATTACAGTACGACATCACAGCACACTTGGTGATGGGTGAAATACAGTGGGAAAGCTCTGGTTCTGATAATGGCAAAGTAGTTTTTATTAGATCCACCATCCTGCAGATAATAATGAGAAACCTCAAAAAGCCACTATTTGTAGTTCACTGAGAACAACAAAGAACAGGCCAAAAATGGAGAGGATTTAACTCTTGAAAGAAGGAAACCATAAAGAGGATTTAACTATTGAAAGAAGGAAACCATAATGAGTGAAATCTACACTCTATGGCTTTTGCTTTGGGGACTTTCTCTAATCTAGGAGGCATGGGAAGACCAGTACTCAAGCAGAAGACTTGTTTATTGATCTGAGAGATTGGAGGACATAGTTTTAGGCAGCCAATTAGTGGGAATGAGTGAGATAGTTTTAGTAGGATGTCTGAACATCTGCACATAAACTACCTCAAATCCTTGGATAGTCTCTGAACTGTGCAAGTGTAGGAGAGACTTCAAGAACCCAGTGGATATGCCCCCCTTCATTGTGGGAGGTTTCATTCCCCTTCTTTCTTCTATCTATTTCTTTATTAATCAATAAACTCTGTCTTTTCCCTTAAAAAAAAATCCCAGTGGATGGCAATATCTGGAAGGCGAGGAAGAGATTTCAGATGATGCTCCCTTCAATCTAAATAGAGTTGGCATACAACTCTCATTAAGTTTGAGAGACTTGGTAAATACCTTGGATTTTCCATTGAAGCTCCAAGGAGGCTAGGCCTTGTTAGTAAAAACCTAGAAATTTACCTAAGACAAGGGCAAAAAAACCCCAAATTTTCCTAACAAAAGTAAAATCATGCTTCCACAAATTCAAGTGAGGAACCAGTGATTTTAGTGCCTTCTATAACAGCTAGCACATTACCTAGAGGAAGACAAAAAATGCAGAGTCTGTACAATGTATCACACATAGTAGTTATAAAAAAGTAGTAGATATGCAAAGAAATAGGGAAATGTAAGGAAAAAAAGCACTTAAGAGAAATAGACCCCCCAAAACAGTTAAGCAAAATAGGCCCCAGGATAATCCAAATATTGGTATTGGCAGACAGCAAATTTAGAGCGATTACTATAAATGTGTTCAAAAGATTAAAGGAAAATGGTCATAATGAGCAATAGATGAGAATCTTAGCAGACATAGAAATTACAAAAGCAATGGAAATTATAAAACCAAAAAGTATAATATCAAAAGTAAAAAGTCACTGGGTAGGCTTAATAGGTTGACAGATGGCAGAATAAAGGGAACTGATATTTGATGTGTATTGGAACGTTTTCCTTTGAAGAGCACAGAAAAAGTTGAGGTATGAATATAACCTTTGGGACATATAGGACAATATCAATTAGTCTAAGGTGTGAAATTGGAGTCCCGAGGGTGAGAAGGGGGATAATGAAGTAGAAATACTGGTCAAAAATTTCACAGAGTGGGTGAAAAACTAATTTACAGACCTAAGAACCTTACAGAATCTTGAACAGTATAAACACAAAAAATACAACTACACATCATAGTCAAACTGCTAAATAAAAGATAAATTGAAAAAATTTGAAAATATGCAGAGGAGAAATGTTTATATATTTTATATATATGAGATTGGACAATGAAATTCACCAATTCATTCTGAAAAAACTGCTACATTCCTCATTTCTGAATATCACCATGGTCATCTTTGAAGTTACTCTCATTGGGAAGCTGAACATTGATGCAAGTGCCTGGTCCACCCTTCAAAACTCTTTTTTTAGGATGAATTCACAATTGTAAATTGTCAGATCTCAGATGATGATAGCTCTAATGGCCATTACAGAAAAAGAGTTCCAAAATTGCTTTGAAAGGTAGACCAGGTGCTGGCATTGTGTGTATATACACACACACACACACACACACACACACACACAAGATGATAAGAATGATTTCTGACTTAATCAGAAGTAATGGAAGGCAAAAGACAATGAAAAAAACATCCTTAGCATGTTTTTTTTTTTGTTTTTTGTTTTTTTTTTCTCATTAAACTTTGTTTTAATGGGTCTCAAAATTCTGTGACAGATTTTTGGTCATGTTGTTTCCATTAAAAAGTACTGATTTTAAAAACTAATAACTTAAAACTGTCACACAAAAAGAAACAAATGGTCCACAAAACATTTTCCTTTCCTTCTGAAGGTTTTACGATGCCTTGTTATCATTAACCAGTCTTTTACTATTAAACTTAAATGGCCAATTGAAACAAACAGTTCTGAGACCGTTCTTCCACCACTGATTAAGACTGGGGTG